TTTTTTTTTTTTTAATGTATTGGTTTTGTGTGTGTAGGCCCAGTCTTTGTTACTCCATCGTGACCAGAAGCAAAGTCTCAAGGGGTAACATATGAACAGGAACTGAATGAAGTGAGCAAATAAGTCGTTTGGAGAGCTAAGTTAACCCACTTCAGGCTGAGTGAACAACAAGAACCAAAGCCACTTCTGAGGAACAGCAAGGAGAGAGCAAGAACTAGAGCGAGTGGGAGGGGATGAGGTCAGATAGAAAGACAATGGACAGATCACGTAGCATCTTGTAGGCCATGGTAAGGAGCCAGGATTTTAAGTGCAATGAGAAAACCATTGGAGAGTTTGCACAAGGGAAGTAATTTGATCTGATGTGTTTAAAAAGACTCACTTGGGCTACTGAGAAAAATAGGCTATAGTTACAAGAGTGGAAATAGGAGCATCAATTAGGAGGCTGCTGCTGCAATACAAGTGCAAGGTGATGGCTGTCTAGACTGGGATGGTCACAGTAGAGCTGGTTAGAAGTGTTTACATTTAGGATATATTTTAAAGTCTATTTGCAAGAGGTGCTTATGGATTAGATGTAGAAAGGATAAAAAAATGGTAAGTAAGCATAACTCAGATTTTGGGTCTGAGCAATTAAATGAATGCTATTCATTTACTAAAACAGGAAAGACAATGGAGGAGTAGGTTCAGGAGGGAAATCAAGAGTTTCATTTTGGACATGTCAAGTGGGAGATGCCCACTAGAAATCCAAGGAGAAAGGTTAAGAGAGCAGTTGGTAATACCAGTCTGGAGTTCAAGGAGAGGTCAAGACTAGAGATACCAATTTAGGAGTCAAGGGCACATAGCCCTGGGGCTGGATGAGATCATTTAGAGAGTGACTGAAAATAGGAGGAGGGGAGCTCCCTGAGAACTGAGTCCTGGGCGTCTCCAGCACTGACAGGTCTAGAGGAAGGGGCTGAGAGGCAGCAGCCAGTGAGGTAGGAGGGAAACCAGGAGAGCACGGTGTCCCTTACCCTTTTCTGCTTGGTAAATTCTTCATGCTGTAAGCTCCCGCTTAAGCATCTCCTCTGGGAAGCCTTCCCTGATTAGGCTAGGCAAAGTTAGTGATTCCCTTTTCTGTGGTCTCCCTCAGCATCCTGCAGGTGCCCTTTTGCAGCATTTATTACAAGAGATTATAATTCCCGTATGTCGGTCTTTCCCAATCAACTGTGTACCTCTTAGGGGCAGGGACTGTGGCTTATCCATAACCACATGGCCCACAACTAGCTCAGGGCTCACCTCAGTGGGTACCCAGGGACTGTGCTAGAGTCTGAAGGAAGATAAAGGCCCAAATATCAGAAGTGGTCAAGGAAGGCTTAACAGAGAAGGTGGGATTTGAGCAGTACCTTGTTGGAAGGCATTGGATTTCAAAAAATTGTAAGAATAGCAGAGAGCGTGGCAGACCAAGACAGACAAGAACAAGCAGGCAGGACTGGGAAAGCACAAATTATGTCCAAGAGGCAGGAACTGGCTCTGTTTGATGGGCCCCCAGGGTTCAGGGAGGGTTCAGGGAAGCGAGGCTGGTGCCAGGCTCGGAGGCAACCAACACTAGGCCAAGGACTTGGTTCTCAAAGTAGGTTCCTAGGAATACTGGTGTTCCATTATGTTTAAAATGTGACAATTTCATGGTTTTCTATAACTTCAAGGTGCTTCCTCACAGACAAGTTTGAGAACTTATGTTACAAAAAAACAAATGATATATTAATTAAAACCATCATATATTAAGCTATTACTATGTGCCAAATGTTCCACAGGGCTTTCTCTCATTCAATCTTACAACAGTTCTGTGAGGTAGATACAAATATTATCTGTATTTGCAGATAAGGAAACTGAAGTAGAGAGAGGTTAACTTGCCAAGCTTGCCGGCTGGAGGTGCTGGGAGGAGGAGCTGGAATTAGCTCAAACCCAGGGTGTCTGAGGATGAACCCCAAGCCCTTGCGTGACCCCTAGACTGCTTCTTTGGCTCATTCCTATGGGGTATCTGGGGCTGAGAAGGGAGGAAGAAGTCACAAGAACCATGAAGAAAGAGGAGAAGCACCTGGGGATCTGGAGAAGGTCAAGGTCACGGCCATCTGGGGTGAGGGTCACGGCCAAGGAGCGAATGAGACTCTGAGCTAGAGAAAGACAGAGACTGAGCAGCGGAACCGGGGTAGGATGTTCCTGAACGATGAGCTGGCAGCCGTTCCTCGGCCTGTGCACCTCTGCCCCATGAATCATCCACACCCAGACGGGCCTCGCTGTTTAAGCCAAGGTCATCCTGCTGCCCTCAAGAAGACTGACATGAGGGTATGTTGCTGGGGCTGCCTGAGCAATGACAGGGGAACAGGCCAGAATGACAGGGCAGCCACGCTCCTAGGCAACAGATTACAGGAAACCTGCCCGCAGCCCGAGCTGCCAGCAGCTGCTCTGGGCCATCATAGTTTCCCAAGTAGTTAGTGTGGCTATGATTGGAAAGGGGTCACAGTCACATGTTTGAGATGAATGTTATTTCGTTGGTTGGGGTTTATGTCCTGGAATGCTGCCATCTGGGCCAGGCCTGAGCTACAAGTAAGAGGGGCTTCACAGCAAAGAAATAATGTATCTGCCTGGCTGGACTGGCTCAGTGGTTGAGCATTGACCTAGGATCCAGGAGATTGAGGTTTGATCCCAGGTCAGCGCACACGCCTGGGTTGTGGGCTCGCTCCCCAGGGGGGGCGTGCAGGAGGCAGCCCATCAATGACTCTCTCATCATTCATGTTTCTATCTCCCTCTCCTTCTCCCGTCCTCTCTCTGAAATCAATAAACATATATTAAAAAAGAAAGAATGGATCATCCTGTACATGCACAGAACATTATTATAGTTTGCAAAGCCCTGTCTAATCTTTATCTCATGTGAGTTAGACAACAGCCCTGTGAGGTGGTTGAGGAAACTGAGGCACAGAGAAGTTAAGTGACTTATGCAACATCACACAGCAAGTCAATGGCAGAACCCAATGCTGTCCCTAAGTCTCTGGGTTCCAAGTTACTCCAGGTGTTTGAAACTCAAACTAACAAGTGTTTCAACAAGTGATAAGAATAAAAAGCAAAAGGACTCCAAGGAGACAAGGATAATATTCTCAATCACTGCGAGTCTGAATTGTGCGGCAAGACACATTTCAAACACAACACTTTCCAGCCCGTGGAAGCCTTTTTACCTGCATCACAATGATCCTAGGGGGGCACGTAGGTGATTCAGAGAAAGAAACAGAGGCTCAAGAGCACCCCCTGGAGTTCACTTCTGGTGCTGTGCTCCTCCCCTGACCTCAGGCCTGGAAGCGTTTAGTGTGGTCAAGCGATGGAAAACGGTCTCAGGGCTGTGGTTCCATTTGCTAGATTTGATCTGTCCAAACCAGTGGCTCCCTCTCTGTCTGCCCTCCAGTTCCCCACAGCTTGGGTCCCTGGTTCCACCCTGATAGCTGCCCCAGGCCGCCTGTCTATAGCGAGACAACCGCCCTGGCCCTCCACCCTGCGCTTTCACTATGCCAGGGCTCTGTGGCTTGGCCATGCAGGCCAGGCCCACATGATACTCCTGGAATAGCTGTTACAGTCAAACAAATGTGACCGCACAGTCCCCTGGGATGACCCTTGGATGCCTCCACGTTGCAGCTGTCTCCTTTGCCCTAACCTACTGATGGCTTGGGCCAGGCTCTGCTTTCTCTGGTGCTATCTCTAGGTTCTGCCCACTGACCCCTTCTAGCGCCTGTAAGCCACGTATCTGGTGGCTGAGCTGAACATCCGACCTGGGAACCAAAGCCTGGGGGTCTCAGAGCCTAAGGACAGGCTCTGGATGACAATTAGCCCCTCCTGGAACTGATCATTGTCTGAATTCCCCTCCAAAGGGTTCCTCCGGCCCGCCTGGAAATCCTGCCGCCTGGTGCCCATGCTCCAGGGTAGCCGCCCTGGAGTGGGGGCTGCCCCTCGGGACCAGCCTCCTCTCCAGCTGTTACTTTGCTGTCACAGTCTTAGGCAGAGGACTAGAAACAACCCAAGTGGTTACCGACAGGAGAACCGATGAACAAACTGCACACTCACGATGGGACTTGCAGCAGCGCGAAGGCACAGTACCAACCCCGACCGCATGAACAGGACGCTGCCGAGTCTACACACCTTATAACACAATTCTCATCAAGCCCCCAAACAGACAAAACCAAACCATGTATTGTTTAGGGTTACATTCGTGTCACTCTTAAGTATTTTTAAAGCAGGAAGTGATAAACATCAAGTTCAGGATAACGGTTCCTCGGGGGCGAGTGAACTGGAAGGGGAGCAGCTTAGTACCTGGAACTCGGGCTGGGAGGTGGGTTTGGGGTGACTGTTTTGTTGTTCTGCGTCATAGCTTTCATATATGTTCATGTATTCTCTTTATATACAACCGCTGCAGATCATTTTAAAGATTGGATGGAGAGGGTCCCAAAGGCATCTCCTCCCCCTTCTGGCTTATCTGGTGGCAGGAAACCGAAAGCCTACTCAGTGCCTGGACTCCACGCCCCCCCCCTTCACAGCCCAATGACCTGAAAGAATGCTCTGCCCTCATCCCCATGTCCTTCCCTCCCACACTCTGGCTCAGCCCCCTGCACTCTGACCCTGTCCCACCATGCCACTGCCTCCCTGCCTCCCTAGGACCTCAGACAGTGCTCAGCAGGTGGTAAAAACTCAGCAGGTGGTAAAAACTGCCGGCAGGAAGAATGCGTAAATGAATTTCAGGCACTGTGCTTTGCGTGTGTGGGCTCATTTAATCCTTATAAGAATCCTTTAAGGGAGGTATTATTGGTCTTATTTTACAAATGACAAAAGGGAAGTAACGCACCCCAAATCACACCACCAGCAAATAGAAACAGCAAGTTGGAGCCAAGTTTAACACCAAAGCCCACACCAGCAACCACCCCTCCCCACCTCTGGCCATCCCACCACCGCCCCTCGTCCCAAGGTTGGGAACTGGCAGTGGTTACCTGGAAACACGTGGGCCCCGGCCTCCCCGTGGGGATGTCCGACTGGTAGAAAACTTTGAGCTCTGGGGTCAGGGCAATGACGGTCTTAATCACCAAGGAGATGATGTCAGACCAGACCTTCTTGATGTCAACGCCTTTGGAAGACAACCTACAAAGAATACTAGAAAAAGTCCTTTTGCTGCCTGTGCTAGTGCTGTCCGAGTGGACGAAGTTACCGCTGTGGATGTTCAGCGAGTAGTTGGTCAAGTGCATGAAGATGTGGTGCAGGTTTTTGGGGGTGGGCTCCTGATATGGCTCCGTACAAAATCTCGAGAGTCCATCTTTGGCTATGTAAATCTCTAAGGGGTCTAAGGACTTCAGTAAGACATACAGGCGGATGTCAAACTTGAGCTTGTCGATAAGGAGAGGTTTGCAGATGTACTCCTGGACCACTGCCGGCCTGCGCTGCAGGGTCCCTGCCAGGCGAATGTCACTGGGGTCTTTAATGAGGTAGATTCCGTCACCCTGACAGCCACCATCGGGTTTCACAATAAAAGTGGGCTTCCAGGAGGGGTCACCATCTTTCACCATTCGAACCTGGGGGCAGAAAAGAACGGTTAGCGTGATGTTCTTCTCTCCGGACGCCCAGGAGCGAGCCGGATGTTGGCAAATATTTGGTAAATGAGCGACAACATGAGCCCGATGTATGTCATACTCACTGAGCACCTGCCAGGGAGAGAACACTGTCCTAGGTACTGAGACAGTGACCTAAGGCTGCCTTCAATCTTATCCTCCAGAACAGAGACCAAGAGCACAGCGGATTTGCAGTCACGAGACCTGGGTTCAAATCCCAGATCTTTGCTGGTTACTAGATATAACCCTGAGCAAGTCACATAACTGACAATGATAATGGCCTAGTACTATTTACAAGGGCCTACTATGTGCCAGGTGTGATATTAGGCCCTTTACATAAGTTATCTCATCTGAGAAAATGTGGTGGCTCTCCTTTTATGATACAGAAAACAGGAGATGGTGCATTAGTTGTAAAGAGTGTGGGCGTGGCGCCGGGCTTCCTGGTCTCGAATCCTGGCCCTGCTACTTACTGTGTGGCCTTGGGCAAGTTACTTAAGTTAGCTGTGCCTTCCTCATCTGTAAAAGAGAAAGAGTGTTCTGAGGATGAATGAGACAATAAATGCAAAGGGCTAAGCCCACAGACCTGGACACATGCCAGGCAGCCATCAAGTCTGACTGGAGCTGTTTTTCAAAGATGGTGCGAAACTGGGATTGGAATCTACATCAAAGGCTCTAATGTGCTCGCCCCTTCCTCTGTGCTGCCATGTCTTGGGTTCCTCATCTTAAAAACGAGGCTATAAAACTAACCCTCCTGGGTCACTGTAAAGAAGAAATCAACTAAAATGTGCAAAGGGCCAAGCACAATACCAAGCACAGAGCTAGTGCATGAGAAATGCTAGTTTTTACCATTTATATCTCTTATTAGGTTCATCGAGTAGACGTGGCCAAGCCTTCAGTCTGCTAAGACCTTTCTGAAACTAGATTCTGTCATCCATAATATTTGCTCTCCTCCCAGCTCCGGGTCAGCAGGACACTCACATAATTATCCAGGCCATCTGACCAGTCCAGACAGTCAGTCTGGATCTCCGGGTCTGCATAATTCATACGCACCCAATTCCCCTGGACCTTGTCACATCCTTCACGCAGCTATGGGGAGTGATGGACTGAATGTGGGGAGAGGAGGTTTTCACAGAAGAGGGGGGGCAGCTGCAGGAAACTGAAAGGTGGGTTTGAAAGCCACTCTCTCTGCAGCGTCTGGCATGAAAGACCCCGAAAACAGGCCTTCCTTCCATTCTGATCTGTAACTCAGAAAGGAGGCAGGGAGGTGGCCCTGCCGCCCCAATGGTGGGCTCACCCGGGCCTCCACCTTTGCTGCGTAAGCCCAACCCGGGACATCTGCACTCTGGGTTTTACTTATCTCTCTGACGGCCCTATATTTCTAAGTGAAGCTTTTGCCAATTCCTTGGGCACTATCAGTTACTCCAGGCTTGTAAAAGATCTTTAACAATGGAGAAACACTTAAAGCCTTAATAATGGCCCACATCAATTGTTTCCCCTTGTCAGCAGGATTCGAGAATGGAACCTCACCAGAGATCAATGCAAGCCTCCCCCGGCCCTCCACCGAGCCTTTCTTGCAACCGTGACCTTGACGGTTATGTGTAGTTATTTAATATTCAGCCAAAGCATTCACACGTTTGGCCCTTTACAGTAAATAGAAGTGTGCTGGAGAAATGGCAGTTATGGATCAGGAAGTGAGAAATGTCAGGTTTGCACCGGTGGGTAATTTCTCCCTCCGGAAAGCTTTTGCAATGCTGAAGATGCTAACAGTTTAATATATTATCAAGAGCAATATTTTCTCCTTTGAATCCAGTGTATATGCCTTAAATAAATTAAACTACATGGTCAATAGCCTCTGCCATTCATTGCATTACTGAGTATTTCTTTTGCTCTTTGCCAGAGTAGTACCATACAAATCAGGATTATTAATACTAACAGAATCGCTGAATTTTTAGAATTGGAATGATATTCGGAGATCAGCATGGCCCAGTCCTCTATAATTCAAATGCCGAAGCTGAGGCCCAGAGGGGTGAGGTGACTTGCCTTGGGTCTAACTGGCTAGGGGGATGGTTAGGCAGAGAACTGAGGTCTTCTGACTCCATAGCACACTCTCTGTGCCATTTTTACCCCTGATAAGATAAAATCAAAGCTCTCTTTTTCTGGAATACTATAGGGAAGAATCTCTTAATGTAGCAGATGGTATTGGTGCCTCAGCTCTGTTCTCACACTAACGAGTGTGGCCCCTGAGTGTGGCTTCCTTGGAGCCCCCGAGTTTGCCAGGACTGCCCAGTCCAAGACCTGTCTGTGTTCCTGGAGCAGTCGATGGGAAAGCCACACGGCTGTGCCGAATGTGGTTCCCACAGCCACCAGGCCTTTCAGCGACTTCTATTTTAAAAGGGAGGATTTTCCGGAGTTTCATACCCATTCTCCTCTGAGGTCTCACTCAAGGGTGACCCTTTCCCCCCAGCTATTAAAGTTATTAATGTTAAGAATGAATGCATTGGTTCTCAGCAAGAAGTCATGGACCAGAATCTAAATATAGTCTATATAACTAGGCCCCAACCCCCACAATTCTGACTTAATAGATGTGGGAAGAGACCTGGGCGTGCATATTTTGAAAAAGGCACGATGGGTGACTCTGATGTTCACTGGGTTTGAGGGTCACTGGGCTAATGTGAGTTAAATAAAAATACTATCTGGGATCAACATATTGAATGAAGTTTTATGCATTGATGTCAGCCTGAACATGAGGAAGACCTGCACTTAGGCTAAAGCTGATGGTATCTCCATTTCTGCCCAAGCCTGCTGTTGGACGTGAAATCCATTATCTTGTAACTGTATGCATTGATGGCTGAGAGAGATACCAAGAGGATGTGGTGGCCTGATTGCTTGGCACTCATCTGCCTGTTAAAAAATTTATGTCTTTTACTGCCCCCTAGTGGATACTTAAGAAATATAACTGGGACAAACCCCCACCACCACCCCCATTCAAAATTCTGACTCTTCTTAGCAGTAAGACACTCTATTAAGATATTAAAATAGTCTTAAAGAAGCACCACTACCAAGCTGGGGTACTGTTAAGGTAATATCATACTTTGGAACGAACTTGTCTCTAAAATGCCAGGGTTGGCCAAGGTCACATTCAATTTTCACACCCTCTGTCTTAAATATTTTCAAGGCTTCTCCCTACTATACAGATTGGCCTACCTGTGTAAATCCTCTCAGTTTGTGTAAACTTTTAAAAGTTGGGGAAACATGAATATGAAATCCTGAAAATATATGCCATAAAAAATCAATGATTTTCATATTCTTCTTCACTGTGCTTTTTTGTATTTTCCAAACTTTCCATTAGAAAAAAAATAGTAGCAATAGCAGGCAGCAGCAAGTGTCTCTAAAGATTTTCATAAGGAATAGCTTTTGGTGAACAGAAAGTTCACAGCAGCATTGCTCACAATAGCCAAAGGTGGAAACAACCCAGTGTCCATCAACAGAAGAACAGATAAACAAAATGAGCTGTATACACACAATGGAATATCATTTAGCCATAAAAAGGAAGGAAATTCCGGCACCTGCTACAACATGGATGAACCTTGAGGACATTATGTTAAGTGAAATAAGCCAGACATAAAAGGACAAATACTGTATGGTTCCACTTATATGAGGTCCCTAGAGTAGTCAGATTCATAGAGACAGAAAGTAGAATGGTGGTCGCCGGAGACTGGGGCAGGGAGTCAGTGTTGGATGGGCAGTAACGTTATAATGAAACCAGGTTGATCAGAGTCAAAAGCCTGTGATCTTTCCACGACAACTATGCTCTCTGGAAAACTCAAAGCAGGTGAAATGTAGGAACTTCTGTTTAATAGGCAGAGTGAGGAGGGAGAACACTGTGGGAATACAGTTATAGCCAAGCCAACCAGCACATCTTGCCTGAGCCGCGGCCAGCAGGGTAAGAAGAGGGACTCCGCACGGCCACTGAGCTAGCTGCCTGGGATCTTCACACCCAGCCCCACCAGGCCAGGGAGGAATTATCGCACACATGAGCGTGCACACACACACACACACACACACACACACACTTTACAAAGAAACTGGAGACTTGTCCAAAGCCACACAGCTAGTGGCAGAGCCCGAACTAAAGCATAACATTTCCAGATTTCCACCCCCAAGTTCTTTCTGCCATAATTGATTGGAGCATCTGAAGAGGCCTTGGGAATCAACACTCTCTCCTCACCCTCAATAACACCACCACGTGTGTTTGGTATTAGAATAAATTTCAGTGTTTTTCAGAGCTATCACCTTATTTAATGATCAAACCTCCATTCTAGGGATACTGAGGACACTGAGGCCCAGAGAGTAAAGTAAGAAGCCTACAGTTGCCAGGCAAGAAGGAGGACTGGGAGCGGCGGTCCTGGACCCAAGGTGCCCTTTCCTCTGAAGATGCTCCCAAATTTACCTGGGAGGTGACAGAGCACCACGAGGTGGCTCAGGGAAGCCGGCCCCTCCAATCATGACAACCAAATAGCAAAGAGGAGCCACTCTGAAAGCTTTGCCCAAATCCAGGTGTTGTCAAAGCCATGTAATGGATCCCACTTTCAGTAAAGAGCAACTTAATGTGGCCATAATCTCTCCGTCATCAATGAGCAATCAAAGAGCCACTCCAGCACACACCTGGGGTGATAAATCTGCTTAACAGCAAGGAACCAGTCATGTCGTGAGACTGTCCCTGTTCCTCTCAGGTCGCCCCCGCAACATCTGACCCCTTATTGCTGGAGCTGAGCGAGGGAAGTGAGAACCCAAGGAAGGCTGGTTCACCTGGCCTGGTCTCCCCCACCCTCCCCATCTCTCCCTAGTTCCCCTAACTGACAGGGCTTGCTGGGCCTGAATCTACTTCTTAAGGGCCTTGGGGGATCCCTGAGCATGGGGGCTCTTGGGCTGCTGCTCCCCTTCACCTCCACTGGGCCCACGTA